TCATTTAATTTTAAAAGTGAGAGAAAGGATGGAAAATGTAAATGAAATAGAGCACATTGTAACTGTATTGAACCTAAAGGTCTTTGCACACTGTGCCCGAAATTTTCACACGTTAAGAATAAATACGACCTCTCCTTGTGTAGGGATGGGCGATATCTTATCGTTTGCGATATAGCCTACCGGTAAAAATTCTCCCCACGATAAGAATTAGTCTTCCCGCGAAAATAACGATACAGCCTAGTTGTTGACATATTTTGTGGCTTCCAGTATGAAATAGTCATTACATTACATGTATACTTAGTAAAGCTCATAACACCAGGGTACAAATAGGAAAGATAATACTTTTCTCTAAAGAAACAGGATTTTTTTTGTCTCTAAGTGGATTCATAAGATTCCCTGAATTATCATCATTGATCTCGCAATCGCAATAAATACCAGAAATTATCGTGATATATGTTTAAGCCCGTATTGCCCATCCCTATCGTTGTGTCAATCACGTTTACACACTGCCTTCGAAACTTTCATCCGCCATAAAAAAATTTGGATCGGGTTTAATTTTCTCTTTTTCACATTTATAGCAAGCATTTTGACTCAGTGTGCAAGGTTTCTGTGTGTGACGATGACGATGACGAATACGATAAAACGCATACGAAAATGTCAGACTCAGTGTGCAAAGACCTTAAGAGGGAAAAAAAGGAAATGAAAATGAAACAATTAAAATTAAAATATAAAATAGAATAAAATGTAAAATAAAATTAAATATAGTAATAAAATAGTAATAAAAATAAAAAAGTATGTAAAAAATGATATGACGTCTTTAAGGAAATGACTCGTGATTCAATACTGTTAGCTGTTTTTGGCTACTGTGGCATCTATGAGATTGCCTTGACAAAGTTAAAAAAAAAAACATTTTAAATACTGTTTGTCATTCTTTGTTTGCATCAGTTACAGAAATGTGTTTAGTCATGCTTTCTCAGTTTCAGAACAGCTCTTTTACCCTACAGACTGTGAGGACTCAAACTCGAATGCAAGCAAGCGTATGCATGCGGGTGGTGTATATAAACTATTGTGGTGGACAGAAGGCTTGCCAACACATAACACAAACACACGAGACAGACTTCTGATGTGGGCAGTCGCTTTACAGTGATGACAGAAACTTTTTAATAGCTTATCAAATGGAGGGAGTGTTGGTGGCACTGCGATGGAGCAGGTGGTGTTTGTATGACTCAATCAGATGGAGCACCAGCCCTCTCAACCTTGCTGTATGTCTGCACACACACCAGCATTGAATGTAAGACAGTGGTTTGCTGGATTCCAGTCAGAATTAGAGACACCCTAGATAGACACTAGTCATTAATAACCCGCACAGACTAGTCACCAGCCTAGCCAACTTTGTTCGTCACACTCTTTCTGTCCTTTTCACTCTCTCTCTCACCCATGTTTTTCCTCTTTCCCGTCCTCTCGCTCCAAAGCACTTTAGTCACTGTGTAAAAGTAGGTTGCGTTCAATGCACCGCTCTCTCGTTCGCTCCCTCATTATACCGTCCTTGACAAACAACCTGTCACATTGTGTGAGAGGAGTAAGTGGCATTCCCACCCACTTCTAAAACATACACACACACACGCACATACAGTACACTACATAACTGATTGCGTCTGGCCTATCATGATCCATTTTTACAGATGAGTTTGTGTACTCCTCAGCAATCAATCTGGACTAATTATGTTTGCGCAGACAAATTGATGGCACCCTTTCAGAATGACTTTTTGCATTTCACTTCATTTGTCTTTTTAGTGCATATTCTATGTGGTTTGTGTCTTTAGGTATGTGTGGTCATATAGATTTAAGAATTTAGGTATTCTTAGATTTATTGTCCAAAAAAATTTAAAGAACAATTCAAAACTGTAGCGTCAGTAATTGTTAATAAAGATAAAGATTTTTATGTTTTTGCTCATTTTGCTCTTATGCTCACTGCATTTATTTTAAATAAAACCGTAATCTGTGAAATACTTTTACAATATAACATAACTAAAATATAATTTATCCCTGAGATGGCAAAGTTGAATTTTCATTCGTATATATATTTGTTCATAGTTATCACTGAGCAAATATGCCGTGTTTAACTAAAATATATATATATATTTTATATACCGCTGACTTTCTGGAGCTTGCGTCTCCGAAAACATTGAAGCACATTTTCAAACAGACATTATCTTTATTAACAAACTGCATATTTGAAGTCCAAACATGTACATTCTTGCCTAAAAAAACTCTTATAACTACATTCTGTGACACAAAACAGTATTATTTTTAAAATTATAATGGATTTGGGCATCCGCCATGACACTCGCTGTGAGAAATACGGCAACTTCGGCAAGCGGAGTGATACAAATAGTGAAACGGCTGTTGGAGTTCTGGTGGACTCTAATATCACACTCTTATCAGCCAATCAGATTCGAGGACCAGAAAGGACTGTTGTATAAATATATTTGTATGTATTTGTAAGCCCTGCTATCCTTGACCTACAGTATTTTTTCCTATCGAGAAAATCATATAGAGAAGTGTTGTGATAAGGCCAAGATCCAGGCATGATGACGAATGCAATTCCCACAAGCACTGATGAGTTTTTCTTTCTTCAATCATTCTACAAGCATTGCATTAAACTTCTCTTAAGGGCAGCATGACAACAAAATTGGTCTTGTTTATTTGTGGAATAAATGTACCTGGTCTCATTTTGCATGATTCATCAGTGCTTATGAATCGATGCTATTGTAAAGAAAAAAGAAGGCTGAAGGCCATGCAGGTGGAGAAATATTGACCACAAATATGAGCTGGATTTTCAAAATGCAAATCAATTCCTGTTTAATCAAACCAGGTCTCGGCCTTCATTACTTCCTGCTAAATATTGTTTGACTCGAGTACACACTGCATTACAGGAGTCAGATGTGTTGCGAAGGCTGTTTTATGTTGTCTTTAACTAAATCAAATCATAATTGGAATATGTACTCTGCATATGAGTCACACATGATCTAAGTAATCTGTACAAATTGTTTCACAATGGCTTTGGTCCAGCCTGTCGGCATCTGAAAGTTCTGCCAGTCACTTTCCCATCAAACATTTCACACCAGTCTTTGTTTTAGCCCCTCAATCAGGCAGAAGAGGGTGGACCGCAATAGAGCTGGGAACAAACCAATAAATGTCCACATATTTATCACTGAGTCATTGAGATGGCCAAGAGTTCTGCTATTGCTTTTACTTAAGAGTTGATCTCCATGGCAACAGGCTATTATGGGAAAGCTGTCTCTGTCTTTCTCTCTAATTGCGTTGCTGTAAGCTGGCAGTACTGCTGCTAGGTTAGCATACAGTACAAAAACCGCAAACATCATTTCCTGCCTGTGGACATGGCAAATAACAGGAAGTGCATGCTGAGATATAAACAACAAAAGATCTGTGAACTTCTTATTAACCGCAGGTCTGAGTTGCTGAAGTGGCTTTCTGAATATTAGTCTCGAAAGTAAAGGGCACAGACACAAGCCACCTCTGGTTCCTCTAAATTCCACCTCCACTTCATCTGCACCGGCAAAGTCCACAAAATGCAAACTGCTGCCGAAGCCGTATTCATATATAGCCGTAAAACATAATATCGCCACTATCAGTATGGTAATTTTCCCATCCCATCCCTAGAGATCATAAAGCCTGTATTTGGTAGCAACTTTTCATCAATAAAAAGGGAGGCTGTTCTTGAGTCTGCGTCCTGTGTTTAAAAGCCCCATTAAATCACAATGTGGTTGTAACCGAGGCCCTGGATCTCGCCTTGAAGGTCACCTTAGCAGCCTCTGGGTATGGGCTCCAACCGACTGTCTTCAGTGCTTAGCTAATGGAAACTATGGCAAACATCTCACAGCTCTTGTTATCTTCTATCGGCTACACAAAGATCTCTACCATCTGGGGGATTTTTTATTCACAGTTGTGAGACTAAGGCATACAGTATAAGGCAATAATCTAAAGATTGTAATTGGTTGTTTTATACAGTACATCAACAATTAATTTCTATGACTATAGGGTTTAAATATTTTATGCAGCATATACGATTCAGGAGAATATGAGACGGACAATATTTTGGTTTGAAATTGAGATTGCAATTCTCACATGATTGTGAAGAAAAAAAATATATACTGTATCTATATATATTATCATCCAATATTTTGAGGAGGCACTGCCTCCCTTGCCTCCACAGAGGAAATGCCCCTGATATACATATATTCTGGCAATCTGACAAAATTCTCATTTTATTTAAATATATCATGCATAATATTTGTCTTGTTTTATTTTCATTTTTGTACTATATATTTTTTTTCTCATCCAATATTTTGCACTGCCTCCCTTGCCTCTTCAGAGGAAATGCCCCTTATGTATTAGACTACTACACAAAATCACATGATTTACTAGAGATTCTGACAATCTGACAAAATTTTCATTGCTTCAGTCTATTTAAAAAAATACATCAATTTAAATTAATAACAATTTAAAATAAAATGAATTAAGGAGTCAGTGCATTGTTAATAAAGACTTGTTTTGTTATTGGATGAGCGTTTTGAATGAATGTCTTGAATGAATGATTCATGAGAAAAAAAATAGTCACTTTTGTTTTTTCATGACAAGTGTCAGTGAAGCGTGAGCAGTGCATGTTTTGCCGCTGCCCATGTTAATGAATGAGAGTGTATGTAATGTTTTTTTTTTATATACTGATAAAACGTTTTTATATACTGATTGTTGTTTTCTCACAATTACTTCAATGCAAAAGTCTTACAATGCTCTACTATGGCACTTAATTATGTTACATATTTATAAAAAAAATGCAACTGGTGATATTTCTCACAGAGCAAATAATAACAAAGCTGAAGTGATTCCTCCTAAAGCTGTTTATGGCTTTTAATGTTTTAAACTAAAACTAAAAAATTCATAACCCTGGCCATATTTTTTTTTGTTTTCTGTTTCAGAATAAGATCATTTTGGACCCGCTAACATTCAGTGAGGCTCGCTTCAGGCCGTCACTTGAGGAACGTCTGGAGAGCATCATCAGTGGCGCCGCCCTCATGGCCGACTCCTCCTGCACACGTGACGATCGCCGCGAACGCATCGTAGCCGAGTGCAACGCCGTGCGCCAGGCCCTGCAAGACCTGCTGAGCGAGTACATGAACAATGTAAGTCCTGAACAACATTTTCCGCAATGTAAGGTAGCTCAATGACTATACTTTTTAAAGGTTTTAGTTTTTCTGGAAGGTTCTTTTGTTTAGTTTGTTCAAATTGTTTTAAATCAAACTTTATCAAATTGGATTTAGGTTTAGTGACTTTACTTGCCTTTTAAGTGTTGTTTTTATAAAGGTTTTGTGAGGGGACTAATTGATGAGACTTTTTTTCTCCTTTTATTCTTGCACATCCTGCATTGCTTGTGAATCATTCCTAAGACCGGATGGCTAGAAAACATACATTTACCTTCAACAACCATGGTTACAGTAGACATACCTTTCATGGAGTTGACACATACCATATGAATACACATAATATTTCCCAAAGAGTGGTTATTTATTTATCAGTGCTGACATGGAACATGAAGAACTTTCTGCATGGAAAGCTTTAGCGTCATCACATATAGCACACTTTGGCTGTATGAGGTTATATCAGGTTATGTACATTTCTAAAGTTTTAAGCACGGGAACTTCCAGAATGAACTTCCAACATGGCTGAAGCGATATCAAAGCTACACTGTCAGAAATTTCAGTTTGTGTGATGATATGTTGTACTTTTCTCCAGCTGTAGTGTATGGAAAGGCCTGCTCAGCTAAAAAAAAAAAGACAGGATTATTGCTTCCTGACATAAACTGAATTTATTTGCTAGACTTCATAATGTTCATACACTACTGAAATTGAAAGAGGTTTTTGAAGAAGTGTCTTATGCTCACCAGGGCTGCATTTATTTGATCAAAAGCACAGTAAAAGCAGTAATATTCTTATTTCTTTTTAAATATATTTTAAAATGTAGTTGATAAAAATTGAAATTTTAGAAGCCATTATTCCAGTCTTCAGGATTCTTTGATGAATAGATGAAGTTCAAAAGAACAGCATTTATTTGAAATACAAATCTTGTGTAACATTATGTCTTTACTGTCTCTTTTGATCAATTCCTTTGTCAGTGTCTTTGTTTAATACAGCGTCTTTGCTGTATTAATTTCTTTAAAAAAAAACAAAAGTTTGGGGTCAAACCTTTGAACAGTACTGTTTGCATATATATAAGCAACAATTTCTATATTTATCTTCTGACCTTCAGTCATGGATAGATTCTGACTGTTCATCTTGAGAAAGTTCACCAGTTAAAGGGTCTTACTATTCTTTGATAAATCAATACTCTGACATTTCGCCATTCACAAACACTTATTTTAAATGTCTATTGGTGTTTGATATCCTTGACTCAAATGAAACACTTCAAAGCAGATAATCCTATAGAATTATCAAGGTGGTGTGTATGCATATATGTGTGTCCGTGTCAGTTACTTTGAAACAGGTGTCACAAAGCCATTGGCAAGTGTTCTGTAATATTGATCTCTTTGATATCAATGGCGCTGTCTGGCTCTGATGCTATGCAGTAATCAACGGCACCCGGCTATAATCTAATGTATGTTTTTTAGTGCTGGTGTGTTCAAGCACCATACAGGAACAGAGGGATATTAAATACAACCTCTCATTCGATTAGCGATGCCCCTTTAGTCAAAACACTACGCCAGTGGAGATGAATATCACATCAGCACTCCAATTACAAGCTCCTGCTCTGGGAGGGAATGTGTTTGCTTGGCTAGGATGCTCGTTTTATATGAGTTTTAGTCTCTCAAGATATTCATTTTATGTGTGTTTATTTTGGGCATGTTTGTATTTGTGTCTTTGTATTAGGTGTGTGCGATAATGACAAAAATGATATCTCTATATTTTCTGGAATTTTGTCAATAACGATAATTAGGCAATATTTAGTAAGACACTATAGGGCTGTTACCAATAAAAAATAAATCAGTATCAACAACATTTTTCTTTGCATTGCAGACGTGGGACAGTGGCATTGCAGACTGAAGTGGCATTTAGATGCATTTACACAGATTGTTTAATGCAGGACGTTGAATGCATTTAACCTGCAGTTACAAAAAAGTTACAAATGCATAAATAATAAAAATGTTGAATACTGATATTTGAAATGATTTTGGGAAAACAAAGGGAAAATATACTTTAAATAAAAACCTAAAATTGAGTCATTCATTTAACCAATTTGTTCAAACGGCTGATTGATTTGGTAACAAAACACTGTAGTGTGTTACTCAGAGAGGCAAAACAGTTCTGCTGTGGCTTTGTTTGAAACTATTTTCGTTGATGAAATACAGCAAAAACAAGAACTTGTGTCTAAAATGTAAGTCAATCAATATTAACTTCTTGTTTACTGGACTGTTCTAATCAATTTCACATTTACAATTGTGCTGATATTTGAAGAAAAAATACTCTTTGTGTGATATTAACTATATCGGATGATATAAATATAAAATACATATATTCAGGGCATTTTTGCTCCATTATCCTGAATTTTGGAGGAATTGTAAATGTATTTTAATAGGCTACAGTAAATAACGCAGTGAAAGTGTGAACTCTGTGCTCGCACATTAATCTAACTTAAATCATGTAGCATATGTGTACTCTCTGTGTGTGTGTTTTTGTTTGTTTTTTGCGATATACACACAAATGTCAATTCGCATATCGTTTAAACAACAATTACGATAATATCATAGACAATATATATCGCACACCCCTACTTTGTATGGGTTTGTTCATATGAATACTTTTATTAGCACAAATACATTTTCATAATACACATGTTCTATATACTGACATTATGTTTTGCATCCTAGAATCTGCATATTCATAGGCTGATCCTGGTATATAAAGCATTTTTATCATTCATTCATTCATTTTACTAACACAAAAAACAAAAAAAAGTTGTTGTTGTTTTAATTTCAGATACCTTGCTTTTATTGTGGTAATGTGCTATCTAATCTGATCTGATCTCCAAAAATGCACGTTTAAACCTGGCATAGAGTGCATTTGTCATGCCATTATTGTATTGTTTATGTTTTGCGGCTCTTCTGTTGTCACAGCTTTCTAGTCCCTTAGGCTGAATTGCTGTAGTTTCTTAGCTCACTTTAAGGTGATTCATTATTTTTGGTAGTTTCTGCTAGTGCGCTATAGCTGCAGGCATGGAAGTATGTGCTAGCGATCTAAACTAAAGACCAAAGAGATGGCAAAACTTGAAACAGGGCAAATTATTATTTTGTTTTATTGTTTTGTTTTGATATCTCTTTGCTATATGCCAAAACTAAAAAAAAAAAAAAAAATGTATCCCAGCAGATCAGTGATATATTTTATTCTGGTAGAAGAGAACACACGTTTACATGTAAACGTTATTAGCTTCTAGCTTCTGGGAATTATGGGTATAGAGAGGAAGCGAGAAATAGTGTCTGATTTCTACACTGTACACAAAAATTACCATTGGTTCAGTTTCTTCTAAAATCTTTTCAACTTCTGCCACCGTCCTTTGACCTTTTGCTCTAATCGTTCTTCAAGCTCAAGCCTGAACGACTTGTGGAACGGCACGAGCTTGATCAATGTGCTGGTTTGCAATAAATTAAATTGAAGTGACAAGAGAATGTCCATACTTGTCCTGGCTGGTGGTGATCGCTGATTGGTGACACCCGCCCAGACTCCCAGACCACTGCTGAATCATCAGAATTGGCTGATTTAGTTACGGCAGCCCAGACAGGCCAATCTATCAATTGATCAGTTGGAGTAATGCATTGCTGACCTGGGTCAAGGGAGCTCGGGCTTGTGGCTAGAGGTTGAAGGGCTTTGTGGTTGTGGTGGTTCACCTCGCTAGCCTGGCCTGCAGTGCACTAAAGAGGATTTAGGGAGTTGGTTAGCAGAGCTTAATCTTGCACTTAGCGGGACGTGGCATTCCGGCGGTCACACTGCGTTTAAAAAAGATGGATGCCTATATTCTTCGGCTCTCCAGGGGGCTACACAGAAAGACTTGATCAAGAGGCAGGGTCTCCGAACACTCCATCAGCCTAACAGCGCTGCTACCAGCCGCACGAGTGCAGAGCCTGTGCAAACCCAAAGGATTACTTAAGAAGAACTGCAGATCAGCGAATGATAGAGAAGGAAATAGAAACAATGGGATGGATAGATTAGAAGCACTTATGAGATTTGGTGTCACCTCCTACTCCATACTGCAGTACTGGGGGTGGATGAAGATGCTATTTTGTGACTTAATATAAAAAGTTAGGTCACCAGCACTTTATGTGCATCAAATTGCTTGACAAAGCCAATTTTCATTCCTTTCCCACCAATTTTTTGTAAATTTTTTTTTTATTGTCGAATAGGCTTTAATGCTATATCAGCCATGAACCATAATTTGCTACTTACAAGTCTCTTGCTGGTGTTACGTTTAGAGAGTATTTGATTGGAGGAAAAAAAAGTGTAATGCAGGATAAGTCTTCAATATATTTGGTCTATACAGTCTTAGGCATTACAGTTTAAGAAAGACTGTAAATAACGCTCACTTTTAGGAGAACTCTAGCATATCAATAGCTTCAAAGCTGATAGTCCAGTATGGACTACTTGCCACAAAACTAACATGATATCAAGGCTAAAAGCTGTTAAATTTGATTGAACATGAGAGTAGTGTTGTTTCTTAAATTAATTGTTTTGAAGTGTCTTTGAGCAAATCAATTAAGTGAATAAATCAGTGACTCATTCATAAAGACAAGCTGAATTTGGAATACCAACTAGCAAATTACACTTACTTTTTTTCTGAATTCAGTCCAGTTGAATTAATTCCCGAATGAATCAGCATTTTGAACAAATCATTTAAGTGAATGACTCAATGATTTTCTTTGATTTGCCACCTACTGAATAAATAAATGAATAAAGTAATGCACGGTAAAATTATATTATATTATATTATATTATATTATATAAAATTATATTATATTATATTATATTATATTATATTATATTATATTATATTATATTATTTACTAATCTGATTTTTTTTCTTTTTGTAAAATTAGTTGATATCGTAGCTCAGTTTAAGTGCTATACAGTTCAGTTATACA